AAAGGAGTTCCCCGTTGAAAGTTTGAGCTTTTGTTGTTCTGATGGTTTAAGTTCTAGAAGCATCGTTGGCAACCTTAATTACTACTTTGGAAGAAGCTTCTCTTCTGATTCTGAATCCAGGGAATACCTGTGCAAGCAAAAGAATCGAGATATTGACTTCAAACTTCAAAATTTTCTTCTGTTGGAATAAAAAGTTTTGAAATAAGCCACACAAAGCCGTGAAAATAGAAACTTGTGGACCAAGCTTGTGAATAATATTCTGGGTGGTTGGGGGAGCAGAATACTGGTATGGCTGTTGCCAAGAGCAACAGCAGCAGTGCACCATCAACACGCCCATGCAATTGTTACGAAGTCCAAAGCTTGACTTCCTCCGTTTTGGATGCAAACCAGACCGCAAATCTAAAAGATCGGTACATTCTTGGAGAGCAATTAGGTTGGGGGCAGTTTGGTGTTATTAGGGCCTGCACAGATAAGTTGACTGGAGAGGTGTTGGCATGCAAATCAATTGCTAAAGATCGATTAGTGACCTCAGATGATGTGCGAAGCATCAAGCTTGAGATTGAAATTATGACCAGGTTATCTGGACACCCAAATGTTGTAGATCTCAAGGCGGTGTATGAGGAGGAAGAGTATGTTCATTTGGTGATGGAGCTTTGTGCAGGAGGGGAGCTTTTCCACCAGTTAGAGAAGCATGGAAGATTCTCTGAGTCTGATGCCAGGGTTCTCTTTAGGCATCTGATTCAGGTAGTTTTATATTGTCATGAAAATGGGGTTGTTCATAGAGATTTGAAGCCAGAGAACATCCTATTGGCCACAAAAGCCTCCTCATCTCCAATTAAATTGGCAGATTTTGGTCTTGCAACGTACATCAAGCCTGGTACTTCCATACTTCTTTACTTTTTGATGATTTGCTTTTTTTGTTTTGTATTTAAATTTTCTGCAAACTTTGAGTTCAGTCAGATGTTTGACAATATTTTGGTTGAAGCAGGGGAAAGTTTGCATGGGTTAGTAGGCAGTCCATTTTATATAGCTCCTGAGGTACTTGCAGGGAGCTATAACCAGGCTGCAGATGTTTGGAGTGCGGGGGTTATTCTTTACATTCTTCTAAGTGGAATGCCACCATTTTGGGGAAAGACAAAATCACGGATATTTGATGCTGTTAGGACAGCTGATCTGAGGTTCCCATCTGATCGCTGGGATTGCATTACTGAATCAGCTAAGGATCTGATTAGAGGAATGCTCTGTACAGATGCTTCACGAAGGCTCACTGCTCAGCAGGTTTTAGGTAGGTCAAATGCGACCACGTGCACACACACAAGGTTTACTGAAATGCTGTAAATGTCAAATTCGGACGTCCCATTTTTGTATTCTGGTTGGCATATTTGGAATGTGGAAGGTAATAATTGGATGATTGTTAATATATTATCAAATTCTCTAAGATGATCTTTATTAGAAGAACCAAATGAATTACCCATTTATATTGACTCTAACATTAACAAAAGATGGTTGGTAGAGGGATTGGAACTTTGGAGAAGGCCTACTCTTAGGTTAATGCTTATATAAAGATACTTGTCATTTTTTGTGGTGATTCATGAATACATGCAAAAATATAGTGGTTATAAATTGATACAAGATTGGAGTCAAATAGACCTTTGATCCTTGCTATTTATCTACACACTGTAGTTCTTCTGAGAAAGCAACATAATATTATTATGGACAGATTTTGCATCAATGACTTTTCTTAACTCTGCACTCTGTGGTTGACTGGCGAAGTAATGCAGTTTATCTGTGTACTTGACTAATCTAGTAGGCTTCAAGTCCAAGAGATGCAACCCTTATGTTTCTTGTTTCTTGTTTTAACTCATTATATAATTACTCTGTTTTTTTAAAAAAAAAACTCATTATCTAATTACTCTGTGGTCTTTGTGAACTTTCCTATTGTAGATCATCCTTGGATGAGTAGTCAACTGAGTCAATGTGAAAGTGTAGGCTGTGACAATGGTAGCTCATTCTCTACCTCATTTATGTCCAGGAGTCGGGACATCAGCTTTGGGACTGGATCACCTAGTATATGTGATGCCCAGTCACCTGCATTTACTTGCAGGTCATCTTTTTCTTCTTTCATGGCAGAATCATTTACTCCATGCAAAGCATCCAGTGGGTTTTCATTCTGCGGCAATGGTGATTCTAATGGTTTGGAATTCTCCTCGCCTGTTCCCTCAATGCCAAGCTTTGCGTTCTTCAGCCCTGGCTCTTTGGTTGAGGAAAGTAATTGTGCGTTAGAGTTCTCAGCCAGCATTTCCAGAGTAGACGCAATTCATGGAGGTATTTTGAGTTACTTTTTCCTGCTCCCTGCACCAGTATCATAGAAATCCCATCTCAATCGTATCAATGTATTGTGATGCAGAGACAATCGCAGGGAAGCTGCTCTTATTGCCAAATTCCCTTTCATTTGGACTTGAAGCTAGAGAAATGGTTAACAAACCAGTGGAAGCTAAAAGGACAGGTGGAACAATTGGATCCAGGACGTCAGCTATTCACAGCAAGAGGAACCGTACAATCGGACTTGGTGAGCGTGAACAACTAGATTTCATGGTGACCGAATCAATCATTCGTTGGTCGTCATGCACACATCTTCCTACTTCTCTTAGATCTTCTCTTGTCTGTTAATTGTGTGGACCTGAAACAGTAAAAGATAAGGTGGAGGGGGTCGTGATGAAATATTATGGTTTGCAGAAATCAAGGCGCTCATGTAAAGTTTTTGAGCCTCTATATGGTATCAAGTCCACATGCCTCCATTCAGCTGATTCCTAATGCTTAGTGCCAATTTTCATGTCAGTTTCAAGTTGCTGGGGGGGTATTAGGTGTCTTCCTGATACGGAGAGTGAATTTTGGATTTTACTGGTAGTTAGGAAGAGTAACAGATAAGGTGGAGGCTTCTGGTGAAGTATTAATATTGTGGTGTGCAGAAATTAAGAGGCTCGTGTGAAGTTTATGAGCTAATGTGTTGTATCATCTCTATGTGTTCCCATTCAGCTGATTCCTGATGTTTAGTGCCACTTTTCATATTGGTTGCAAGTAGGTGGTATGATGAGATTGATGTTTTCCTGATATGGTGAGTTGATTTTGTTTTTCAGCGGTAGGTAGGAAGAGTGCTGAGTTGTGGCTAAGGAGCTTCGCCCTTTTGTATAAAGTAATTGTTTACAGAATGCTTTCCGAGTCTTATGATATATATATCTATTGAGGGCATTTTTGTTCTTTTCTTCTTTCTTCCTATATATCAGTTTCATCTGTGAATAGTAAATTATTGATCCCAATGGTTGTAGATTTCTGTTTTTTTGGTTCCTCTCTTGGCTATGAATAACGATTTTCATCTTTGGGTTATTATTCTTCTGGATAAATTAAAGCCAAGTGATTTGGAGTGTGAGTGCTAGAATGAATGGGTCTGGGTCTGGCAAATTAAAGGGCTTTCAAGAAGATATCTGCATTATCACCTGTCTTATAGAGTGGAACACAACACTCAATTCACTAATTTAGCAAAGAAACACCATCTCACATTATTTATGCTCTGCTACCCCTACTTTAGGAGACAGCAATCTACCATTATCATTTATTGGCTTGCCCCATAGAAAAGATGATTATTTTATCATAGCCAAAAACTATTAAAATTAAGTATCAATAAAAGCTTGATTTGACTTTTAATCTTTCTATATCCCAAATAAACTTGAAGGCATTTGCATAACGGATATAATAAGTTGACCAGGGCCATGAGCATCCATCCACTACCAAATTTGTTATTTATTGGTGTTGTGTTTCTAGAGCAAATCTCCAACAGATGACGCTTGTCCATGCATGTGTCAATTGCACAACCAGTCATCATAAAGGATAAGGTTTAGACTCAAAACCAGCCTCAAGTTTTGCAATACATAAAAAAGTGGGGCAGAAAAAAAACGATTAAAAAGAAAAGGGACTAGCTTTCAGTTAGTTCTACCTTCACAAGACACGAGAAGTACCCGCCAAATGGGGTGCAGGATAAACAACTCAAATCCTCCTCCAGTTCTTCGGAAATTCTCAACACAAAGGCAAAGGCCTATAACAAAAACCATCTCCTTCTCTTCCCCTTCCAACAATCAAAACCAACAAGAACTTGCTCCCATCACTGCAGCCACTCAAACCCAACACCCAAAATCGAAACTTTATTCTGTTAAGTTCAGGACCTTGAGTGCCTGCAAGCTTGGCATATCCATATATCCAGACTTTGAATACAATGCTGAAGGTGGGAAAGGAACTGGGTCTGGTGCAAAGGTCGCAGAAAGCAACTTGAGCGATGAAGTTTCGGTGTCATTTGATCTTGAAACACTCTACATCCCACCATTGAAGAGTGCAACAACAAGGTTCTTGGGATTGCCATTGCCACCATTTTTGAAGATTGACATTGTCCCCGAGCTCTTCAGTGGGAGCATCAATCAAGAATCTGGCCAGGTAAAAAAACGAACAAAAACAAAAAGCTTCAACAAAAACCATTGTGGCATCCTTCAAATTCAGCTATATATTCATTTCATGACCAATTTATTTGGTATTGTTGTGTTTGTAGGTTGATCTTGAATTCAAGGCAAAGTTCTGGTTTTCTGTAGGGAGTATCTATAAGGCTCCTCCGCTGCTGGTGAAAACGGTCTTGACATCTGAAGAATCAAAAGGATCAATAAAAAGTGGAAAAGGGGAGAGGTTGGATGAACAAGGAAAGTGCAGATTGGTTGGGGTGGCAACTGTTGATCCTATTAATGACTTTCTGATTAACTCCTTCCTTGGCCTACCCACTGAATGCCTTGCCGACCTCAATGCTATCATTTCCTTGTCTTAGTTCTTAGTGGTTTCAAAAGAGGCAATCATTCCTTTTTCTGTAGTAATTTTGTATAATCAAAGCCAAAGGAAATATATATAGAGATCGAATCAACACTGAAAATCACGTTTTTTCTCTAAATTTCGAAAAAATTACCCACTATATGGGTTGGGTTGCATACAGAATCTATACTGATTCCTCTAATGATGATCATTAAAATTTATATATGTGAGTATTACATAGCCTTACACTAAAATTCAGCTCATGTGAGTATTACATTGCCTTACACTAAAATGTAGCTGAATTTGACTGTTTAACAAGTGATGATAACAAAAATTATAGCTATTTTATGATGTTCTTTTTTCTATTTCCTGTGTTGTTATCGTTCTCTTTCTGCAACTATATAAACATCATTTGCTTTAAGAAATGGTTCCGTGACTTCTGTCCCCTGCATGATGAAATGAAAACTCAGCATGGAAGTAAATATGCTGCCAGAACAGAGAAGCAGCGATACTATGTATAGTGTCTAGTTGTACAACTCACTTGTATGCTCCGTCATTGGGGAAATGTCTAAGCATTTTCCAAATCATTCAAATGCCAGCCTTTGAGTGCCAACCAATGAAGCATATTGACCTTTCTTAGCTAATAATTCGGAGTGTGTACCAAGTTCTGCTATCCTCCCATCAGAACACAGTGCAATTTGATGGGCATTCTGAACCGTGCTTAATCGGTGAGCAATCACCAATGTTGTCCTTCGCTTCATCAGATGGTTCAGTGCACCCTGGACTAGGCGCTCACTAATCGCATCCAATGCACTGGTGGCCTGTTGGAAATAACTTCAACAAATGAAGCCTAAATCGGGGTTTGGGCTTAGAAAATTCTAATGCTAAAAATAAGAGCTTTCAAAACAACAGGGAAGCACAATGACGAGAGTTTGATGTATTCAGATTCATTTGTTACCAATATCAGGATCGGAATCAAGTTTGTTGTTTGGAACTAGAGTATAGAAGCAATAAAAGCAAACAATACTTTACCTCGTCAAGTATCAGGATTGGGGCATTCTTAAGCAGAGCTCTTGCAATGGCGACTCTCTGCAGATTGAAGAAAAGAACAGAAAACTATCAAGTTTCGCCACCTCCTCCCTAACTTTCTCCCTCTCTCTCAACTGATTTTTCATACCTGCCTCTGGCCACCACTAAGTAGGCCTCCACGTTCACCAACTAGTGTATCATAACCCTTCAAAATCAAAATAAGCATTTCGTTAAAATAAAAAAAAACCCAGGAACAAGCACAGTAAACACAACATATTTGAAAGACGACCAACCTGTGGAAGTGAAATAATAAATTCATGAGCATTTGCTGCTTTTGCGGCCTTGATCACGTCATCCTTGGATACATGATCATCTGGAAGCCCATAAGCAATATTTTCTCCAACAGACACCGAAAAGAGAACAGGTTCCTGTATCATTTATAAATGAAGAAAATGGTTCCAAAGAATAATCAATATTCAGTATCTCTTAGCTCATATTCATATTCGTTTTGGGTTTGGATAGGTTTGACAACAATACCCAACTGAACCAAGAGCAAGCATTTCACTAGACTTACCCAACCAAACATTAAGTCTTGGTCCTACCACCAACCCACCCCAAGCTCAAGCATCAAATGTAGTTGAGCTATGTTTGGACCCGGAAAAGGAAGGCTACCAAGTTTGGACATAAGAAAATAAAAGTTCATAGAATGCTTTAGGGAAACTATCATTGATCTAAATAGATGCACATTCCTCATAAAAGAATCTCAATATGCAGTCATAAAGTAAAGGTATGCAAAACGTAGGTTAGTTCCTTGATTGGGTAGTATAATGACCAAAATCAGTCAAGACCACACCACAAGTTGTCACCCCACCAAGGATTGAAATATCGGCCGATACACCGATATATCGATATTTTGAACTGTCGACACCGATATTGGGGGGTAAGGTCATATCTTCCCCGATATCGACGATATATCCCCGATAAGTGCGATATCCCCGATATTTTGCCGATATTCCCGATATTTTCCGATACCCATAACAAAACCCAAAAAAATTCAAAAGCTTTGAAGCAAATTGAAACTGAAAAGATTTTTTGAAGGTATATGTGCAGTGATTAGATATATGTGTGAAGGCTTTTGGCAATATTCAATTCAAAAGATGTTTTGGAGTATGCATCAAAAGAATATAGACTATGCATCAAAAGAATATAGACCTAGTCACCTAATACTAACTCAAATGAATCTTATGATGGCTATGGTTATGTCATGTCTGATTATAGTAGAACTAGATATGGAGCTCAAGATGATGAAACGGATTATGGACCTACTAGTTGGGTTAATCATAACTATCCCATATATGGAATGACAGTAGGGAGCTCAAGAGAGACATATGTGCACCATGTTCAAACATGGCTTACAAACTACTCGAGTTACATGACTTGGTATGATTATAGTACGAATCTAGATGGTTGTTCCACATTGTTTGAACCTCATAGGAGCTCTTCATTTATGTAGTTGGATACTCATCTAAATTGTAATCCAATGTTCAAATAAACTATGGATTTATGCATGGTTTATTCATTCTAATCAACTTTTTATTTTCAAACTTTTCATTAACGCGTATTACATACCACTTATATTTCATCATATATATATATATATATATCATATTATTAGTAAATTTTGAGTTTTATTTGTTCAATACATTCATTGACAATGTACATAACATCTATGAAAGTTTTACACCAAAATTATGTGTTTCAATGCCTATATCTGTCATTTTTGTTGATTTTTTCCCGATACCCAAAACGATAACGATATATCCCTCGAAATATCTGTAAATTGGAGGCCCGATATTATCTGCACGGCCGATATTTTAATCCTTGCACCCCACAACTAATGAAAGACAAAAGGAACCTGAAACTACCAATCCAAGGAAACTTGGATGGTTACATGTGGTCTACAATCTGCAGCACAAGTATTTTCACCACTAGAATTGGATGCTCAGGTAATCAAGTATGAGAAGAACCAAGGGTAAGAAAATATAACGTGAGAATTATCCACAGCGTAAAGTGTTATATCAGATGTATGGGGATTTGAGAAATTACTTGATTCACTAAAGAGACAATCTGTGCCCATTCACTCTTGTCAAATGTTCGGACATCCTCTCCTGCAACTGTTATACGACCACTCTTTGGCTGCAGAAGTCAGACATTTAGCTTATTTATAGGTTTCATCCGCTCAAGACAAATAAAACGAAATTGATGCCTCAAACATATAAAGAGAAGAAAAGCAAACCTCATAGAAACGTGCCAATAGCTGCACAATAGTACTTTTTCCTGCACCACTTGGGCCCACTAGAGCAGTTACAGTTCCACATTTTAGCGTTAGATTTAGACCATTTAAAATTTCAACATCAGGTCTCAAGGGATAAGAGAAATGCACATCTGCATAACAAAATCAGGTTACTCATTAGCACATTGGAACACTATGTATACAAAATCATACAGAGATAATTCCTCCCTAATGATAAAAATCATCATGACAACTTAATTTACAACGCAATTGGTATTAGAACCCATGAAAAGCAAGCAGATCATGCTAATAACTACATGGGCTTATTAGATGGTATATATTATAACCAAAACCACAGTGAGGAATAAACAAAAAAAGAAAAGTTGGTAATCACTGCACTTTAAAGACAATGCATCCATACCTTCAAGACAAACATCACCAGACCAAGCTAAGCGACTAATGTTACTAGCTGACTTCAGAGCTGACATGTAATGTGTATTTACTGACTGATTTTTCTCACTTGAACCATCAATGAGGAACAATCTGTAATTTTCATCAAGTAATTTCTTTTGTTGCATCTCCCTTTCTAAACCATAAGCAAGGGATTCATCAATTTCTACCCCAGACAAAACAGAGTTAATCCTCTCCACAGCAGCAAAAGTTCCACGAAGATCTCCAAAAGTATTAACCAGGCCTTGAACCTAGTTAGCTCAGACACTTAGAAAAAGCATTGCGAGGATGGAAATAGTACTAAGGTATACATACAAAAGAAACTGACTCACAGCGAAAGTTAATGTGAACGTGTAACCAATGAAAGAAGCCACAGTTCCAACAGAGAGTTCACCCTGCAAGCAGGAAAAAATTAGCAAAATATGAATTTAGATCAATCATAGCTGAAACCATGAAATGTTCTGCCCAATTGGTTGTTGACAAGATGAGGTAGTGCGAACACGGATGAATAAATGATGGGAGATGAGGGACTGAATCTGAATTAAGCTTTAGAAGGGTCACAAGTGCTTACCGCTTTCACTTTGCTTCCTCCAAGACAATATAAGGCCATTAGAGATATATAAACAACAACTCTAGTCAAAGATTCATTAAGGGATTTAAAAGTCCCGAGCTTTATTCCACTGCTCTGGTAAGCTAGCACCTGCCAAGCTCATGAAGAAGATGCTAAGTGCATTGAATGGCTTTCCTCTAAAAGAAAAAATTCACTAGCTTGTATTACTCTACCTGTCTGCCAAACATTAACATCTGGCGCTTTTCCCCACCGAAGGATCTTACCTGCAACAGCATGATGTTACCAATATAATGATCAAGTGCACACGCTCTTAAACCACACTCAATTCTGAATGACAAAGATTGACTTCTGTGGCTGATAAAGAAATTATCGTGTAGCCAAGAATTTCAAAAAACTTACAGTGCGTATGGCAGAAAATGTTTCTGTCACACAATCAGATATGGATGCTTGAGCTAATCCATAAGCCTTGAAAACAGGCACAGTTGATCTTTTGTATACAGCTTCAGAAAATTGATAATAGTCATAATCAGGGAAAAGAAAATGTTTCAACAACATAACATATTTCCCACCTACAGGCTACAATGAACATTAGGCAACCATCAAAAGGACGAATACTGGCAGTATTGGAAGATGTGAAGAACCTAATCCGATACAATTGGCAATTTCAGATACTAATATAAACAACTACTATTTGTGAAATATCACAAATTAGGAGCTGGTTATGATGTATAAAGTATTCCAAATCTTAGAACAGAAAGTCAATAATCCGACTTGTATTTCTGGTATCTTTTACCCCACTTCCAAAGGAAGCTTAAAACATGACAAAAATGATGATAGTTCAACCGTGGTGCTTGTTACTTCTACTGTAACCTATGCAAGACTCAATTTTAAAACAATCATGAAAGTAATTATAAAGCTCCATAGTTCCGTGAGATTTTCTACAATGAAAGCAAACGAAGAGATCCACAACCATCCTCATGTGAGGAAAAGCATACAATATCAATTTCAAAACAGTCTTGAAGATAAGATAAATACCAACTAAAATAGACACGGTGAGCATCAGCACGGCCAGGATTGGTGCAAGTTGGGGAGCCAAAGCAAATAGTATGCATATTGTCCCGATAACCTATAAGGCACAAAGAGTGATAAATGGAGATGTATACTTGAGAACATGAGTGATAAATGGAAAACGAATCCGCCAATAAGATTCTGCCGCATAGGGTTACTTCTTAATTTCCATTTTGTAATACAACAATTTGATTCATATAATTGTAACAAACACATTTGGAAGCAATCACATGATGTCAGTAAAGTAAATCTGAAAATCAATAAACCTTTTAGTGCTCTGGTGGTGAAAACTGAGTGAATTTCAAGATAATCAAAACCAGGTATCGCATGCATAAATGGAGGCAACATAAAGCTCACTTGTACTTGGTGTAGAGTTGCTTGCCTCAGTAAGTGCCCTGAATCCACGGTCCCTGGAAATGTTTTCGCTCACAACACTTTTAATAGAACCCAAATCGGATGTTAACAACCCCGTCAGTTCACCAACCTACACGGAGCAAATCCAACTCAATCAAAAGGTAGAAAATAGATGGTATCATATACAATCCTCAAATAAAAACGTGACCTGAACACACATAATTTAAAATTAAAATAATAACATTAAAGGTCAACATACATACCTTGTAACGATCAAAAAACTCGACCTGCAAGGATGAACAAAAGAACAAACCAGTATCACAAATTAAGGAGAGAGAGTTCAAGTTTGTATTAATTAACACTACTGCAAATGAAATAACTGAAGTTTACCTTTTGAATCAAAACCCTTCCGAAAATCTGAGCTCTGAGTGTGGACATAACCTTTTCCCAAATAGTATTCAGGTTAACAACGAAAATTACTGTTAAAATTGGCTCCAAAGCATACAAAACACCAACTTTACTCAGCAGTTTCCACAATGGCTCTGGCCTCCTCCCAATGAGTACTTCGAAAAAACGCCCTAAACAAAAAACAGAGTCAAATACATCGATTTCTTTCCGTTCTTTATATTCATTTTTTCTCGCCAACCAAACAAAACATATAGAAAATATGAAAATTTGAAGTGAAATTCTCTCTCTCTCTCTCTCTCTCTCTCTCTCTCTCGTTCTGTTAGTACCTGAAAATATGGGCATTGAGAGAGTGCAAGCGCTGCAGCCAATGAGGGCGAAAGCCGAGATGGCGAGCCTGAGTTTGTGCTTGAGCAGAAGGCTCAACAAGAGCCCCCAGCTAATCACGCTCGGCGACTGGCCCTTGGAGTCCGGCTCATCGATTTTCGGGTCGGGCTCGCTGACAATCGGGTCAGAGGCGGGCCCAGACACGTAGGCGAAGGAGGCGGTGATGGTCTTTGGCGGCGGCGGCTGCGGCTTCGGCTTCGGGAGACGATAGTGTGAGAAGCGTGGGAAGGGATGTGATTGGCGGAGAGAGGACAGCGCGAGTTGCGGTTTGACTGTACGGGCGGGCGTTGAGATGAGAGTCGGGGGAAGAGGGAGTGTTAGAGAGGTCATGGCTGTTGCTCTGTTGCTGCTGCTCTCTACTCGAGAGATTGTGTAAAGAATATTTTGGTTGTGTATCGATCAATGGATACAATAGGAAAGCTCGGGCGGGTACAACAAGTAACAAGATATGAGGCTGATTGAAGGGAGATGTAGAAGATTCATGCGCGATTTGGAGCGCCAACAGATTGCTTCTTGGCAAAATGGGAATGCGAGATAACGGTAAAAAAAAATTTGGGAACAATCTCTTTCATCCCCACGCGCGAAACTACCAAAGTATCTCTATCTGTAACAGGCTGGCAGAGCTAGCTCCAAAACCCTTTTTTTTTTCCCTTCTATTTTAAGAAATGTGAAATTAAACAAACTCAATTTCGTATTAGGAAAAAAAAATCTTGGCTTTAGGTCATACAATAATTCAATATAAATAAATTGATCGATTTTTTACCATATACAGTCTCATGTTTCAGCTCTTCACGAGCAAAACAGAGACTAGAAAAAGAAAAGGAAAATAAAAAAGAAAGCTGGAGAGAGAGAGAGAGAGAGAGAGAGAGAGATAATAGAATAGAGGGAGAGACAGCATCAGCACGTCCAGTGTCACCCACGTGTCTCCTCGAGAATCGCCAAGAGTTGAGACCCTCACGAGATTCTGGTCTCCGCCCCATCGCCTCGATTCACCACCCCAACCAAGCCCAACAAAACCACTACAACAAAACTCAACTCAACTCGCTCACTAACTCAGTCCGTCCTCAGTGAAGCTCTCTCCTTCTCTCTCTCTCTCTCTCTCTCTCTCTCTCTCTCTCTGAGAACTGCTCTGCGAGTCCGTGGGAGGCAACCAGTCGCATCTCCACACGAACATTCCTCGCCGGCTCTAGAACCCTCTAGAAGACCCCCTTCTCTGTTGACTTTCTGCTTCCCAGAATCAGATGGCTCCGCTTCGTTGCATTCTCTTCCTCGCTGCACTCTGTTCTCTGATTCCTGCTCTTCACGCTAGCGCTGGCGATGCTGATCCGATTTACAAGTATGCCTTTTTCTCACATGTTTCTGTTTAATTTTAAAACCAATTTACTGATTGGAATTTCCCTTTCGTTGTCTTTGAGTCTTCCCGAGTTCGTATCAGTAGTATTTGATTTCTTATCCTATAATAATCGAACTCACTGAGTTAAGTATTTGAGTTCGATAGAATGCTCTCGCTGTTTGACGGATAAGCTAGGTTTTAGTTATAATCCGATAAAGTCTTCATCTTTTAGAGGTCGAAAACTCCAAAATCTGGAAAAGGTTTCGTATTTCCGTACAACGATTGGTGTCTTTGTACATGTGATGTTTTTGTTACTTTATGACGATAATGATGAAAATTCTACAATCATTTAATGCTAGGAAAAAAATTTAATTTTTTTAATGAAGATTAGTGACCTATTATTGTCAGTAATTGGCATGCTCTGGTATTTATTCGAAGGAAAAAAGATAAAAGTGTTGTGTCAGGAATTATATGCCAGGAACATAGAGTAAATTTGTTCTGCTATTTGATGTGATTTCATGAGTACAAAATTTATATCTACAGGATTTCGTTTGTCCTGTTCTCTTTCTCGTGGCTGTTAGAATAATATTCATTATGATTTTGATGGGGTTTTCAGGTCTTGTGTGGTGCAGTGTGAAAAATCTGGATGTGTAGGAGAGAAATGCTTTCAACACTGTAAATTTTCATCTGATGGAAAACCTATTGATGGTCCATGGTACATGCAAGAACCGCTTTATTTGCGCTGGAAACAATGGGACTGCCGCAGTGACTGCAGGTACCACTGCATGCTTGCTAGGGAGGAAGAGAGAGAGAAACTTGGTGATAAGCCTGTCAAGTATCATGGAAAATGGCCATTTCAGCGTGTTTATGGCATCCAGGTTTTTCTCTCGTTATTCATCTGATTTAGCTATTTTTACTTGTGTATATGATGGCCTAATCATTTTGAATGAACTTGCTCATGTTTTCATGTTCATAGGAACCTGTTGCTGTTGCTCTTTCTGCTCTCAATCTTGCCATGCAGTTTCATGGTTGGATATCTTTTTTCATCCTTGTATACTACAAATTGCCTTTGAACCCAAATAAGAGGACTTACTACGAATATACGGGCGTGTGGCACATCTATGGGATCTTATCAATGAACTCTAGGTTTTGGAGTGGTGTATTTCACAGCCGGTAAGTGGTTTTGAATTCCTTTACATCAAGAATGATTTCAACTTTTGGCCAAAAGAATATTGGTAGACCTTCTGTTTTCTGTCTTGACTTGATACATTGCAACAGAAAAACTATGTTATAACTTATAGTACTGATACACGATTAATGCAGTGATTGTGCCTAGTGGGAGGAAGAACACAATTTTGATATGTTCATGTTAAACGTAATGTTAATTATTTTCAGACAGTTTTTAACCTTTTTTTTATGTACAATGTAGAGATGTGGAGTTAACAGAGAAGCTAGATATTTCTTCTGCTGTAGCACTACTTGGATTCTCACTCATTCTAGCATTACTTCGAGCTTTTAATGTGAGAGATGAGGCTGCCAGGGTCATGGTTTCTGCTCCGCTGATTGCATTCGTGACCACACACATACTATACCTGAACTTCTATAAACTTGATTATGGTAATGCATTTGCCAAAAACCTCCATTCATTGAATGACAAACCATAGTTTTTGTTGCTTTTAGTTCACTACTTGCTGTGGCATAGTAGTGGACTCAATCCTTGGACAATGAGCTTATACAAGTTTTGCAGGTTTGAACATGAAAGTGTGCATGGCCATGGGCATTGCTCAGCTTCTTACATGGGCAGTTTGGGCTGGTGTTACTCGACATCCGTCACGCTGGAAGTTGTGGGTGGTGGTGGCAGGAGGAGGCCTTGCCATGGTCTTCGAGATATATGACTTCCCACCTTACCGGGGTTATATAGATGCGCTAGCTCTCTGGAATGCAATCAACATACCTCTTACATACCTTTGGTGGAGTTTTGTCAGGGATGATGCTGAGTTTATGACATCGGCCCTCCTGAAGAAAGCAAAGTAGCAGTTCTGGACCTAAAGCATGAGTGATCAAATGGTGCAATATATCAAAGTACATGACGTGCGCACCCCTGTTAATTTATGAAGGTTCTCTTTTTTCTCATGTGTAATGCGTTTCTTCTTCGAAATGCTTACCATGATGTGGTTCCCTTCGTTTTTTGCATTTCATTGGTAATCCAATTGTTTCCACTGTATATGTGGGATGGGATCCAGATTTCCAGGTCTTTGTGTTGGTGCTTTTTTTTTTTCCCTGGAAAATCTCAGTTCGCATATGTAAGAATCAAATAACCAAGTTACTGTATTTTGCTGTAAATCTTTTGTGGAATACCATTTAGCATGTTGTCTTTATATGTAGTTGTGGCATATAAGTTTTTATGCAGAAAGGGTCACAATGATGGGGTTTATTCTGCCAAAACATTACATGCAATTCGGATATTAATCTTTGTAATATTAAATGCAATGGCCGAAAGTCTAACCAAAAAGGTAACATGGGGAAAATTCAATTTTTGTAATATCGTTTTTTTCAATCAAGCAAATTCAATGTCGATGAATTATTTATTTTATGGTGTCCAATATTCATATTCGTTTTTCTTTCTATTTTAACCTCGTGGTGTAGCCTGTAGGGTACATGGCCATAACTGACATTTCATAGACTCGGTGTATATTTTAAACTGGACGGATTTCGGTAGGCATTCCGTTCCAAAACACGTACTCGAAAATTTCCCGAAATTCGATGGCATGCTCAATTTTTATATTTCATACTTGAGTCATTAAAGACAAAATTCTAAAAATCTTTGACACTTAATTTGCCTTTTTTTTTTTACATCAATTAAACAGTAATGGCATGTTTAGTCATCTGTAATCATATTAGGAGAAATTGAATTGAGATGAGTTGGATTGAGGAGTGTTAGATTTTAAATTTTTATTGAAGCTGTTTATTAAGGCCCCGTTTGAGATTGTTTTTTTCTCCAAAATCGGCTTCACTTAAAAGTTAAGCAATTTAAGGTGTTTGGTAAAAATAAAATATCTTGATTATTTTAAAAGAATGCTCTGTATTGCTTTTCAAAGCTGCTTTCAAAAAAAGTATAAATAACCCTTTAATGACATTTTTTAATTCCCAAAATACCATCATTCATTTTAAAAAATAACATCACCTCCACCTCCACATCCAACTCTACCACCTCTACCACCATCGTTGCAGCCACCACCACTTCCTCATCCTCTTCCACCTCTATCACCAACACGACCTCCACCTCTACAACCGTCATCCCCACCACCACCTCCTCTTTCAACTATCTTCACCTCCATATCTTTCACCACCTCCACTACCACCACATAATTAGCGCATAACACTTCAACATCATATCTATTTGAGTTATTATTCACAGTTATAATAGTTTTTAGATTACAATTTATCAAACAATTTTGGCACTGTTTTTTGTACTAACAACACTTTAAAATAATTATTTACCAAACATGGAGCTGCTTTACTTCATAGTTTTTTTTTTTTTTTTGGTAAATACCATGAGGTGTCCCCATACCCGAAGGGTGAGATTAATCCCCTCTAGGGGTCGGCTTGCCCATGGCCACAAAATGCTTCCAACACAACGGGTTTCAAACCCCCTGCTATTGAGGCACCAGGTAACTCGCGAGTTGGAGGTGACAGTTTGCCAACTGCTATGTTGCAAGGACACTTCGAAATGCTGAAGTGTCGGAGTGTCGGACACGCCGACACGTCGACACGCCCCCGACACGCCCCCGACACGCCTTCGACACGGTCAAGACACGGCTCCGACACGGGAGGGACCAGATTGAAATTCTGAAAATAAAAGTAGGGGTCTAAACGTGATTTTTGAAACTTTAGTGGACTAATTTGAAATAGTTTTAAAAAGATGGGTTAAAAGTGGAAAAATAAATTTTTAAATCTAAATGAATCTCACAAAAGTATCAGCCAACCACTTCACTTCATTTCTTCCGTTGCAGCAGCTCTTCTCCTTTTCTCCAACTTTTGCAAAGGCGAGTCTTTTTGCAAATTTTTTTCCTTTGTTTTCAAATGCTTTTATTTACGTTTTCTAGTTTCTTTTCTTATGTCCCTCCATGACAGTAGAAGAGTTGGACTTGGTGGTGAGGTGAAGATTCTTTTCTTATGTTTTTTTTTAATGGTGTATTAATTATTATTTATGGATGATGAACAATGAGTTATTTGTTTTGTTTTATGGAATTATGTGACATTAAAGTATTGAGAATTAATTAAGCAAAAAAAAAAAAGTATTGATAATTAATTATTATTTTAATTTCCGTGTCCTAATTTTTTAAGAATTTCCGTGTCGCCGTGTCGCGTTTCCATGTCCCCATACCCGTATCCGTGCAACATAGGCCAAGTGCACCACACATTGTGGTTACAACTAATTATTTTCAAAGTATAGCACAACAACCCCAAATTGGCCCTTAACCATATGGAATTGGGGTATGAGCGGTACTAAATTACTAATTATGATAATGTCCTCGTTGTTTGGTTAAAGTAGATGACAAATTTGAAATTTAAAATTGCATGATGATATAATGGGTACAAAAAGATGAATTCATAATGGATTAGTTATCTTGTAATTAGACTATTACCTCCACCTAAGAATTGAATTCCTTCAAAATCAGGAATTCAATTCCAATTTTGCGTGGACCTCACTTACTTTTTAATTTTTATGTGAAAATAAGAAGGGAGATTGACTATTATACCCAATATAGGAGTCCAAATTATAAAAATACCCTATATGAAATGGACTTTAGAAACACATCAAAAACTTATTTACAACATAACAAAGAGACTTTTAAATTCTTATAAATTACAAAGCTGCCATCAATTTTTTAAAATAAGCCAAACCCAAAAACCTCATAAAAAATCCAAAAATACTCAATAGGGTATCAAAGTAATTTAATAATCAAAATTAAATTCAATATAACCAGCTGTCATTTTTTAGGTTTGTTTATAGAAATTAAATGGTGTAGGATTTATCTATATTATTAGTGCTAGGAATTAGTATATAACTAAATATCTCAAATAGAAATCCTTTCTAATTGGAATTCAATTCCTAATTTCAATTTTAATTCCTGGTCAGTAAACACACTGAAAAAGTAAAATTAAAATTAAATTAAAAAGGCCTTTAAAACAGGGTCCCAAACTGGTTATTTTTGGCCCAAATTGACAATTAAATTCCTTCAAAATTGTTCTACTGTGACGTGTGGGAGAGGTGCTCGGGGACATTGTTGCATCAAATTTAAAGAAGACAGTGGCAGACAATTGCCAAACGCACATATATGCTTGGAACCCGCTTTAGGGTTTTAGCGAAGCCGCAATCCGTTTACCACCTCATCAGCAACCCGATCAAACTTGCAGCGCCAAGCCTCTTCCGTCATTTTCACATTAAGACTCCTCTTCAATCTTCTCCGGCCAACAAAGCTGCGGTATGTAAACGCACCATCAAACCCCACAGTTCAAGCGTTCCTCGCTTCCTCATTTTGTACTCTATGTGTGTATATGAATGGATAGTTGACAGTGTTTGAAACAAGGAATGGCTTACGATTGTTCAATTGTATTTCTTGAATGCCACAGATGGACGGTGGACATGAAGACCCAGAGAAGAAAAAGAAGAAGGAAGAAAAGGTTCTCTTATGAAAGATTGCTTCTTGTAAATTTGGGCTGAGATTTCTATGTTTCGTGAACTATTTGTTTGCCGAAGAAAATTAATTTTATTGTTTTGTTCTTTTGGCAGGCAAGAGAGAAAGAATTGAAAAAGCAAAAAGCATTAGAGAAAGCTGCCAAGCTTCAGGTAATGATGGTTAATGTATTTTGGTTTAATTTTAGATTAAATTTCTGTTTTCTCAATCACAGTTTTTTGTGCTGTGTGATGTGTGCTGTCGCAACGTTGTAGACTGTCATTGCCTCAGATAATGCTATGATGTTACTTATTTTTATTTTAAAAAAATTATTTGGTTTTAGGCGCAACAAGCATCCAGTTCTTCTAAGAAGAGTGAAAAGAAGAAGGTAAAGCGTTCCAATGAGGAAGAGGATAATCCAGAGGACTTCATCGACCCAGAGACTCCAATGGGCGAGAAGAAACGGATGTCTAGTCAAATGGCGAAAGGGTACAGCCCAAGTGCTGTAGAGAAGTCGTGAGTGTGATGTTTGCTTTTCATCATTACTCTCATCAATTTCACTTCTATTTTCTCCATAATGTATATGCTTTCTGATTTAGGTGGTATGAATGGTGGGAGAAAACGGGGTTCTTTGTGGCAGATGCTAACAGCTCCAAACCTCCATTTGTCATTGTGAGTGTCACATTTGCTCCATCAAACTTGTTCTTGGGTTTGCATTGATTTGGTTGCCAAAAAAAAAAAACCGGTTTTCACATATATGACAGGTTTTGCCACCTCCCAATGTGACTGGTGCCCTTCATATTGGACATGCTCTTACTGCTGCTATTGAGGTAACATCCTTACATATATTCCTGAAATTGTGTTATTCATTGGTGGCTTCCTAAGTTTGTTTTAAAAAAATTAATCAAAGTTTTATTTTATGTGATATTGTTATATGCAGGACACTATAATTCGTTGGCGGAGAATGTCTGGATACAATACCTTGTGGGTGCCTGGAATGGACCATGCCGGGATAGCAACACAGGTTGTGTTCTTTTTCTTTTAACAATTGTTGAATATTAACTGTAGTTACCCTCATCATCTCTACCATACATATGCACGTATATACATTGAGTCTAGATTATTTTAATTTCATATGTTGACGTATATACATTGAGTCTAGATTATTTTAATTTCATATGTTGACGTATATACATTGAGTCTAGATTATGTTCATTTCATATGTTGTTTGTTTTCAGGCTATAACATTATGTGCTATTTATAGGTTGTTGTAGAAAAGAAGCTAATGCGCGAAAGCCAGTTAACCAGGCATGATATTGGCAGAGAGAAATTTGTGTCTGAAGTGAGTTTGAACTGAAACTTGCTAGAATTAGGTCCATTAATAAATATGATGTTCTAAAGTTAACGATCCATTCATACTTATTCACACTGTTGGCTGGCTATCTTGGTTGTGAAAGGTTTGGAATTGGAAAAATAAGTATGGTGGCACCATTTTACAGCAGCTCCGCCGTCTCGGGGCTTCTTTGGATTGGTCCCGTGAGGTAAGGGTTTGAGTTTCCTGGAGCTTGGTTTGGAGCAAAATGTTGTCTTGTTAAATTGCATCTTCTGTTTATTAGACCTAGTCATGAAGATCTCTCTCTTTCTTACATGTATATATTAATTATTTCTTTCATTTTGCCTATTTTTTTTCTTCTTCTTAATTTTAGTGCTTTACAATGGATGAGAAAAGATCAAAGGCTGTGACTGAGGCTTTTGTAAGGCTTCATGAGCAAGGGCTTATCTACAGGTATGCGTTTATCCCAATATTGAACTGCTTCTTTGATTATTTTGAGTTTTTGAGCTCAGAGCACTATGGTATAAACTTATAAGCTTCCTTGCTAAATACGATTTATGTGATAGGTTTGAGAAAAAGTTAATTTGCTAAGTTCAGTAGGAGAAGATACAACTGTGCTGTTCTAGGTTTAACATTATATGATGGTGGAATCTAGCTTTATTTTTCTGTTTCTTGTTTGATTTCATACCTATACATATTATTTATTTATTTCGTCAGCTGGTATAAGGATTGGGTGATAATAGTAACCAGCAATCTACCTCATCAGTCATCCGCACCCATAATTTCCTCCTCTTGTCTATGTTCCTTTTATTCACCTTAGTTAGGACACTTTCCGGATTTTTCTTTACAGGGATAATCGCCTAGTGAATTGGGATTGTGTCTTGCGGACAGCAATATCTGAAATTGAGGTTAGCCTTCTCCTTTCAGTGTAATACTAATTAATATTTTCAGCATTTATTGAATTTCTTTGGTGTGTGTAGGTGGACTATATTGATATAAAAGAAAGGACATTTCTAAAGGTCCCTGGGTACGAGAACCCTATTGAATTTGGGGTTCTAACTTCATTTGCCTACCCTCTGGAAGAAGATTTGGGTGAGATTATTGTGGCCACAACTAGAGTGGAAACTATGCTTGGTGATACAGCTATTGCTGTACATCCTGGTGATGAAAGGTATCAGCATCTTCATGGAAAGCATGCCATTCATCCTTTCAATGGAAGAAGGATTCGTATAATATGTGATGCGATTCTCGTTGACCCAGAGTTCGGGACTGGTGCTGTAAAGGTAAAGTTTAATGGATAAGTTGTGTGCTCACATTAAAGTTTATTTTTCTGGTTTATGTTTCAGGTTAAAAATATCTTTGATCTCTCTCTCTCTTTTGCCTCCTGCAGATTACCCCGGCTCATGATCCGAATGATTTTGATGTTGGAAAGCGCCATAATCTTGAGTTTATCAACATCTTTACTGATGATGGAAAAATAAACCAGGATGGTGGAGAATTTGCAGGGATGCCACGTTTCAAAGCCCGAGAGGCGGTGACTGAAGCACTAAAGAAGAAGGTATCTATGTACAGTACTACATATATGTGTAACTTATATATCAACACTGATTAAGAAAGACACTTATGTTCATTAACGTACCATGTCATTGAATCTATGCGGCTGTTAAATGCTCATGCAAGAGACAGTATATTTGTTGTTGGTGGTGACCTCCTGAGCTGACTCCCAATGCTATTCAAGTAGCACCTCTAACACTATCACTGACTCTCTCCTCCCACACTTCTTTAATATTCTTTTCAACTTAATGCTCATTCAAACAATGAATTTCAAAATGGAATTTTTTGCATTCCCTTCATTCCAAACACTCAATACAATCTGACATAATCGCTTGTAATTGTGTAACTTGTCAACATCACCAGTTTTGCATTGCATGTGCATCAACCTTCCTTGTGTTGGAGGTACTGTCTATTTGTATCCATTTCTCTGTGGTTTATGGATGTTTCAGTGACCTTATTCTCTGTGCTTTTAGGGCCTCTTTAAAGAAGCTAAGGCCAATGAGATGCGCCTTGGAATTTGCTCTAGAAGCCAAGATGTTGTGGAGCCCATGATTAAACCCCAATGGTATGTGAAATGCACTGGTATGGGAAAAGAAGCCCTTGATGCTGCTATAGATGAAAAAAAGAAGCTTGAGATCATCCCGACACAGTATACTGCTAATTGGAAGAGGTGCTCTTTTTTCATTCTTTACCTTCATGTTTGAAATTTCTAGCGTATGCATTGTAAGTAATAATAAGATCATAATTCCAGGAGGTAAGTTCTATTTTCGAGCATTTCCAAGAACAGAAGTTCAGGTTTTGAACAAGATTTTAGTGGATGGGAAATCTAGTGGTTATCCTTGTATCTTGGCAATTTACTTAACCGGCTCTCCATTGTATGAAAAGTCTGTTGCCATGTACTGCTACCAGTTTGTAAAAAGTGCATCAATTTTATTTACGGAAACGGGAAAGTACATGAAAATTCTTTTCGGGATTTTTCTAGCTCTGGTTTTAATCTGCTTGTTTGGCAAACTATTCTTCTACATGACTTCACTTTTCTTCTTTCAAACTTTATTTTGTTTATCTAGTATTTATTACTGCTAAATGTATTCAAACTACTTGTTTGGAATTTTTTTTGTTTTGCGTGTTGCCTGGTTCTTTTGATCTTTGATTATCAACCTTTTATCGATCCCCTTCCCTTGTTTGACTGCTTTTAGGTAACATAGATAGCTGGTTCACTTTGTCTGTATTAGTTCCTTTGCTTTATATATACTCTTATCAGTTTATACGAACGAAAAGGTTGAAAGTTGTACTTAGTTCTTGTCTCAATTATCACAGATGGCTTGAGAACATTCGTGATTGGTGCGTCTCAAGGCAACTCTGGTGGGGCCACCGTGTTCCTGCATGGTACATAGTATGTGAGGGTGATAATCCGGACAATTTTGGTGCATCATATGAGCGGTGGGTGGTTTCAAGAAACGAGGACGAGGCCCAAGCACAGGCTAGTAAAAAATATGACGGGAAGTTTCAATTATTTCAGGATCCTGATGTGCTGGATACATGGTTTTCTTCTGGTCTCTTCCCCCTGTCTGTGTTGGGCTGGCCGGATGATACAGAAGATCTGAAGGCATTTTATCCTACTTCAGTTCTTGAAACTGGGCATGACATTCTCTTTTTCTGGGTTGCTCGCATGGTGATGCTTGGAATTACATTGGGTGGTGACGTACCTTTTACGAAGGTGGGTAAGAATTTTACATTATAGATTTACATTGGGTGGCAACGTACCTTTTGCCGAAAGTATAATTTACCAGTTGCCTGACTTTTAAATGTAATAGCATATTTTACTTCAGGACACAGAGTGTTTTTCTGGTAAAAGTTTGAAGGAAATGAAATTTTGTGGAATCTTACTGCATTGTTATTATGAGATTCCAAATGTTACATGTCCATATTATATTAGCTTGTTAGGATGTCCAGTGGGTGTTTGTTAGAGACACGTGACTTTAATCTACCATTTTAATGTTTGCAAGATGGTTGTGAACACACAATTGAAGGATGTATGCACGTTCTGCTATGTATATCTTCCTGTGATGATTTGTATATTATAGTTTTGAGTACTGAAGTGACAGGTGGAATTTGGTTTTTCTTCAGGTATATTTGCACCCAATGGTTCGTGATGCACATGGGCGTAAAATGTCAAAGTCCTTGGGGAATGTCATTGATCCACTTGAAGTAATAAATGGTATTTCCCTTGAAGACCTACACAAGAGGCTTTTGGAGGGGAATTTGGACCCCAAGGAATTAGCTGTTGCCAAAGAAGGGCAAGTAAAGGACTTTCCTAAGGGTATTGAAGAATGTGGAGCAGATGCTCTACGTTTTGCTCTTGTCTCTTACACTGCTCAGGTTTAGGCTTCTATCTTTCTTTTTTTTGCAGGTAATGGTTTTCTTCCATGGATCTTAGTAATATATCTGATTTTCTCGTCTTGTCTTTTCAGTCTGATAAGATAAATCTGGACATCCAAAGGGTCGTGGGTTATCGTCAATGGTGTAATAAATTGTGGAATGCAGTGCGATTTGCCATGAGCAGGCTTGGAGATGATTATGTTCCGCCCTCGGATGTAAATCCAGATGTGCTTCCTTTTAGTTGCCAGTGGATTCTCTCAGTACTAAATAAAGTCATATCCAAAACTGTTTTGTCACTGGAATTGTACGAGTTCTCAGATGCAGCCACTTCAGTGTATGCTTGGTGGCAGTACCAGTTGTGCGATGTTTTTATTGAAGCTATCAAGCCTTACTTCTCTGGTAACGATCCAAAGTTTGAGTCTGAAAGGGTTTTTGCACAAGCCACACTATGGTTATGTCTCGACAATGGGCTGCGGTTGCTTCATCCATTTATGCCATTCGTCACAGAAGAACTGTGGCAGCGGCTTCCATCACCAAGGGATCACAAGAGGCCAACATCAATTGTGATATCCGAATATCCATCCACTGTAGAGGTTAGTTTGGTCCTATAATAAAAGAGAAAGCCACTACTGGATAAACCATTAGGTAAATAGCTAGTTTCTGTCAGTAGGTGGATACAGAGTGTGTCTGGTTACTTAATGGGGTTCTTGTTAGCAAAACACAGTTATGTTATCCTGAATCCCTGATGATATCAGATAACAGTGGACAGAAATCATTGGTTGATTTTACAGAGCCCATTATTCATGACCCTGCATGTCTTGTCCCTCATTCATACTTATCATGTTTTTCTTTAAGTTCTTGCCCTTATCGGTTTTTTACCGTATGTCGTAGTTTAATAATTGGGAATTGCTTAAGTACTTTGTCTTCAAAATGAAATATGGTGATGGTGATCAGCCTAGAAATAGAGGCAATTTCTCTTCTTAGGTCATAAAGGATTACTCAGAGGAATGGTGGTTTTCATGCATGACCTTGTACCTTTGAAATAAGTTGCTGGAACAATTGTTTGGCTGTTGACCCTAACCGAGTATGCGTGTCTTTCTATCTTCTTATTCTTCCAGCGCTGGACAAATGAAAGGGTGGAATCAGAGATGAACCTTGTAGATTCTGTTGTGAAATCTCTCCGTTCACTTGCAAAAGAAAGTCGTGAAAGGTATATCTTGCTCGTGCAGTGTGATGTCTTTTGATTTCTAATGTTGTGAATTGATTTAGCTATAGTTTCTCATCCAATATGTATTGTTTCTTTTAGGCGGCCAGCTTTTGTGCTTTGTCGGACACCGTTAGATAGGGAAATACTATGCAGCCATCAACTGGAGATTGAAACCCTGGCCAATCTGTCATCTTTGACAGTAAGTGCTTTGCTTATGAAAATCCGCCCTAGCATCATTCCTTTTTCTTTTGGTACTGAACAAATGAGGGCCTTAGTTGTTATGTGAATTTTGATCAATTTGTTCTGGGTACGGGAACCAAAAAAATTATCATAAGAAGGAAAGTGATTTCCTTTTGACTGCTTGTTATGATGTTTAGCTAAAGTTGTGTTTCACATAAATTTAGCAGACGTGTGGAGCTTGGATGATTGTATTTTACGCATGATGTTCCCTATTACATCAAATTAAACTTGGCGTTCCAGTAGTTCATTAGATGTTTGGATGTGATCAAAATTCTTGCCCCTACAGGTAATCAATGAGAACGATGCTGCTCCAACTGGATGTGTGGTGTCTGTTGTAAATGAAAACCTTTCTGTCTATCTCAAGCTCCAAGGAAGTCGTTCTATAGAAGACGACCTTGAAAAGATCCGGAAAAAGATGGAAGACATTACATTGTAAGCTCATCATCTAAATTAAATTACATGGGGACTGAAAGCTGAGATTACCAGTAATATAGTATCTGTAATGTATAATTTGATTCAGGTGAAACCCCTGCATGTTTTTGAGTTCTGACAGCTGATATTTATACCTAACAGGCAGCAGGAGAAGCTATCTAAGGCGATGAATGTAGCTGGTTACAAAGAAAAGGTCCCTGAGAAGATTCAAAAAGCCAATGCTGAAAAGCTCGACTCGCTTGAGAAGGAAAAATTGTCGCTGGAAGAAGCAAGCCAACACATGGAAGCACAGATATCTTCTGAGCAATGAACACGAGTGATTTTCAATTTTGTCCAGTGACTTCACTTACATGCAGAGACACCTTCAAGGAGAGAAGGAAACCCCAAAAGGACGAAATTTCGCGTTGCATTGTTGTTATATGTAATACATTTGGAGAATTAGACTACAAATTCTTATACAATAACACTGCAGAGATTTAATAACTTAAAAAATAGTGCCTTTTCTTCTCAATTATTTCATTACATCTTCCTGGTATACAATATGCTTGTCCCCGTACTAGTCAAAAAGTTACAGGTACGGACCAAAAGGTAGTACAAAATTTAACAATTTCTCACAATACTTCTTTTTACGTTGTAGACTGAAACTAAACTATTAAGTAAATTAAATGGAATAACTCCATAGTGGCACGTCAGCATAAAATTCCACGTCATCATCATCCTCGGTGTAAAGAGGTGGAGACAACAGCATCCCTTCGGCCATATTTGCGAGGAGTCCTGGCATCCCAAAAACAGCCTCCTCATCCATATAAAACACTTGTTCCGATGCTGACGCGCATTCTGACGGGGCCACCGCCGAAGCTCCAGAAACCTCATCCGACCCCTCCGCAGGTGGCCGAAACGCCTCAGCAGCCTCGGAAGCTGTGGTTTGAATATCCTTGGCGTTGGCTGAAGCCGGTACAGGCAGCCGCCACGCGGAGTCGGCAAAGTTCAAGCAAGCAGACCGACCTCTGAGCGCGATGGCCGCCACGTCATGAGCGCGCGCTGCCATTTCGGCGGTGGGGAAAGTCCCTAGCCAAATCCTGGTCTTCTTGTTGGGCTCCCGCACCTCGCTAACCCACTTCCCGGAGTTCCTTCTCCTGACACCACGGTACACGGGGTGCCGAGTCTCCTTGAACTTCTTCCGACCGGCCCGCTTCTTGGGATAAGTGGACGCCAGAAGGACCTCGTCGTCCGAAAAGTTCATGGATAGAGGGCGAGCACTGCTGTTATCGGAAGCGGACGAAGATTCCGGTACCTCGGAGGAGGCGCCGCAAGGTTGTGGGTCGACGTACTAGTATTAGTAGAGAGCTTTCTGAAAAGTCGCAGAGATGTTGAAATGGAAATTATGGAAAGGTGGATTTTGTAGTTAGAAACTTAGTACTGAAAAAGCAGTGTGATTGATTGTTGGTTTGGTTGTGTACTTTTTTTATGGTTGATTCGGTATAGATAGATAGATAGATATATATATTTGGAAGGGTTATGTGCAGTATAGGTGACTTGGCATATCAAAAACGCGAACACGGAGTTAGGTGGTGATAAGGAGCCAGGCTGGGTTTAGTATAACAAACAGCTGTGGTTTTGTCCCCCCTCAACTTGTGTTGTGCTTGTTTTATTTGTGTGTGCCAAGTGTGTGGGTTTTCAGTTTTGAACTTTTGACTGATATATTATATTCAATATAAGTGAATCAATGAATCTTGGGCTCCTCTCCTACTGTGCTGTCAGTCAGAGTCAAAGGGTCGGTCTCACTCCTCTTTTATCCGTTTCTATTCATACCTGTTGCACTTGAGGGAGACAGATTACTCGCCGATTATTTCTAATTATATTTCCTACACTATTTTTGTGGTTTAGAATTCAATCTCTTTATTTTTTGGTTGCCAATAACATAAGTTTGTTTGTTTTATTTAAATTTGACGAGCCTTTGAATTTATTCTAGTTAATTGTAACTCCTCTTTTTTTTTTTTTCAAAAAAATTCTATCTTCTTTCTTATTACAAAAAAAAAAATATATATATATATATATATATATATATGTATGTATAAAGGAAAATAAATAATTAAATAGACCAAAATAAGAATCTGTCTCTAAATAAGAAGTCCAATCCAAGCAAGCAGAGAGGGGTGGTTCCCAGGAAGCTGCTAGCTAGTGGGGGAAGGGGAAGGCGGTGGTGACGTGGCCAGAAGTACAAGCAAGATACCTTTAGATATGAAGGTTAACTGAAGTTTGCTTTTCGTTGGATTTCATGATCACACAAGGAATCCAGTGGATTTCCCGCGTAAACGCGTGGACCACGTGGGCTATTAGTAAATGAACATCTGGGCCGCCCCCAGATTTTCTTAAACTAAAATGTGGATGAAGTATAACCTTATCCTTGGGCCCCCCCCTCTCCCCCCTCCCGTTGGGTTCAAATTCAATGAGTCAGTCTGGCTCCGGAAGCAGGAAGCAGGAAGCAGGAGAGAGGAAAGTGAAGGTGTCAATGTCTTGGGGTCTCTGGAAAGTGCCACGAGCCCAATTATTTAGGCTTCTCCATTCAAATTGGACTTGGTAAACTATTATTATTATTACAGTAATAAAAATAATAATATATAATTGTTCCTTCATCTATAAGATATGGCTTCTTGGGGCAACGAACAGTATGGCGTCTTGTTGTTGTTGTTGTTGTTCGATAAGGACATGAAACACGATTGGGCCTTTCAAGTTTCTAGATATATATGGATAAAGAGGACCTACGTACCTACATAGTCAAAGGGTTGGCTGGACTTGCACTTGGACTTGGAATTGGAAGTTTCATGCAGGCTTGGTGGTTTTGTAGATTACTAGAAACTTGACCAAGGAATTAGCATAGGGTCTGGATAAAATTAGTTACCTACTGAGTCCTACGCTTTAGCTAAGTTGAAATGCATTGTTGACCATTTTACCCCAAGTTACCTAATATGAGATACTTTATTGACTAGCCTTTAGTCTAGTGACATTTTTCTTTAATTTTAGTTGGAAGATGTCACAAGTTCAACTCACATTGATCACGATGATCATATATATTTGTGATGAGTTCGATACTTAATTGTGCTTCCCATTGTGGTGGCGTAGCTTTGTTTTGTGGCGGTTTTGTATATTGAAAGAACACGCCCAACTCCCAGAGCCGTTTCATCCCTTTTGGGGGAGGAGGCCTTGTCCCCTCCACCTTCCCTACCATCCCTGATTTGCTTCTCTCTCTCTTTCGAGGTTCCTCTAAATGTATATGGGTACCCCCATTTTGCTGAGTCTGAATTTCTCTCCTTGTGAGGAGATGGTGATATGCTCGAGCTTTAATGCTTGTTTCTGGGGCTTTATGCCTCCTTTCTGGTTTACTTCCCCAGATCTCCCCCACTCCAATCCTTTCGCCATTGTTCATTGGCTGCCCTCCGATCGGTTCATTCTTTCCTCCTCTAGGTGTACAGGTGTTTATGGCTCTAGTGGAGTTGGAGATTCTCATGCTGACCATTACTCAGACCCCCTCTCTCCCCGCTCGATTTGGTTTCATCTATTGGCTACTGCAGCAATCCCGCAAAGCGAGAAATCTCGTACATCGTGGAATTTGGGTAGAGCTACGGCATCGCTACGGCTCGGATGCTTGCACCACCTCTTTCTAGTCTCATGGTCCTGTTTCCCTTGCCTTGGGGCTGCTATTATAGTGGTTGGCTTATGGTGGCTGATTTGTGGTGGATTAGTCTTTCATTTGAGTTTGATGTTGTTTTGCTTACTGGGTTCTTTTGCCCCTTTTAATCCAGCTTGCTTTGTCTTTTTTAAGTTTGTTTATCTGATGATATCATTATTTGGGACAATCTGTTTGTTCATGTTTATATGACATTGCAGATTAATTAGTTTCTCTAACTTCTTTACTGGGTTGCTCTATTTGTTGTTATAGTGCCCTCCCTGTTTTGGGTGAGGCTTTGAAATGAAGTTCATCTTCCGACCAAAAAAAAGCTTTTTGTTATGTGTATATTGTAGTTGTAAAAGTAGTTTGCAAATACCCCACGGTTTGTCAAGAAAAACATGACATGGTAAATAAAATTAAGAAATTACAAGTTTATAACTCAAAGTCCCCATTCTCATCACTTTATCACATGCCATGTTAAATTGCAGGAGGGCAAGGATTAAAGTGTTAAAGTCAATCACGTCTATTATGTATTTCCTTATTTCATCTCCTGTAATTTAGCTGATTAGTCAACTAAGTCTCCTATTTTATATGCTGTAATTTAGAGCTATGTTTCAGCTATGTAATTAGTCAACTTTAGGATTGTATATATACATGGGTTCTCACCCAAGTAAACATATTGAATTAATTATAATCAGAAGATCTTGTCTCTCTCAACATGGTATCAGAGCTTTTCTCTTATTAGCTCTTCTCGTTTTCTTGTATCATTGCTGCTATTCCCTATCTTGTATCTCGATGTCCCTTACAGCTTTGAAACCCTTGCTTTACATCTGATCTATTCACTATCCCTTTTCAATTATCTAATGGCCTTGGAATCTGCCCAACCTATCACTATTAGACTAGATGGACACAACTACAGCCACTGGTCCTTTCTCATGAGAAGCTTTATCAAGGGAAGGGGTCTATGGAAGTACATTAGTGGTGATTCAAAGTGTCCAAGCAAAGATGATTCAACACATGCCGACTGGGAGATCAACAACAACAAAATTCTCACATGGATTGCCAACACCGTCACACCGTCAATCAGCATGCAACTTGGGAAATTTGATACAGCCAAACAAGCATGGGATTTTTTGTCGAAAAGATATGTCCACAAAAACTTTGCCCACAGATACAAATTGGAAGGGGACATACGATCTCTTAAACAGCAAAAGGGACAATCCATTTCAGATTTCCATTCCGAAATGTCTGTCATATGGGATCAATTGGCACTCACAGAACCTCAATGGACCGTAGATGCACCTTTGTGGGATACCTATCGTGAGGAAACAAGACTAGTACAACTCTTGATGGCACTTCGAGATGAGTTTGAATCTGTAAGAGCATCAATTTTACATGAGTCACCTCTCCCAACAGTAGATGCTGCCATGACCAAGCTCCTCACAGAAGAGACAAGAAATGGCATTAGTCCAGACATAAACTCAGTATTTGCTGCCCCTCGCTCCTATAATACTTTTCAGAAAGGAAATCCAGTTATACCGCAACGTGATTTAACTCAAATTCAATGTCGTTATTGCAAAGAATATGGACACAAGGTCAGCTTCTGTCCTCATCCCAACTCTCGCTATATGAGACAGAAGAAAGGCTCAACTACTACTGTATCGTCTACAGCAGCCTCTGTTCCCTATGATGGCAGAAACATCACTGCTCAATCCACTACACCAACTGCAGCAGATATCCAAGAGATGATTCATCAAGCTCTTAATATGAAAAACAATGTCGGTAATAATCCTAAGGTTGCATCTGCTTTTTCTGTACCATC